GAAAAAAACGTATTTATCTATGTTACAATGTATTTTTACGCTTTTGCGAATAAAATATTCAAATTCCTAGGGCAATTCTACCCCATTTTTATACCGTTATCGATCAAAAAAGATTAAGCCCGAGAGAAGGAATTACGACTTAAAAAAGTAAAAACCATATTTGCACCCGTGTGGTCTCTACGTCATTGGAAAGTAGTGTGGCCTCTGGGGGTTAAGAAATATACAAGACGTAATATGTACTCGAAGACCTGTATAGACATATCACGTGTCTTATCTCCCGTATATGGGTTATATTTTGAAAATGAGATATCACAATGATTCAAATCACATATGAAAATTTGTATTGGATTGTCGGCAATAAATAAATTTAAAAAATGCTTTCGAAATAGCAAAATTAAATTGAAACTCATGAAACTTTATACTGACTGTAATTGTAGACATTTTAGCAGAAAAAAATGATTTATAAGTTTGCGATATAACGCTTGAAGCCAAGCAATAAAAAGTTATTTCAAAAAGCATGACCACTCATCGTGCATACGTTCTTAGTAGTGATACTAATTCTTCGATGAATTCGAAAGCTACTTAGATAGAAACTGTCACGAGTCTCAATAAAGTCTATCGGTATTGTCATAATATGCTTGATAAGCAGATAAGATCTTCGAGTACACTAAGAGATTTTTAAATAATTTTTTCCTTGAAATTCACGGTAAAACTTACCTGTAGCATATCTTGACATTCTATCGTGCTTTACCGATAAGGTAGAACTATTCAATGGTAACAGAAGCAAATTCTATGTTATAGCCAGTAAAATTCAGAACAGAACATTTTTATCGTGTTTCATTGTTTTTCATTTTAATCTTTTTATAACCAGAGCATACATATAGATTTAAATAATTGAATTAATCAAGGAGATAGAAGATCATCAAGAGTGCTCATGAATATACATTATTTTTTACGTATAAACTGATAACCGCGTGATAGCTCTATACAGCGTTGTACTATTCCAATATTGTATTAGTCGATTTATCAGAATCAGTTATTAACTACGACTTACATCAAATTTTTGTTAGCAGATTATTTTTTTAATAGCCATGTTCCATATTTTAAATAAATAATAGTAGCCACAAGTAAGACAATTTTAAGCATCGATTTTTTTTACATATATAGATAGGTAAAAAACAAAACTATCATGTAAATAATAATTGTTTTCATAAATTTTTTAAAGTTAATTTTTTAGTTGAAATCCTTCACGTGTTACGACAACTTTATTCGTACGAGTTTTGGTTTCCTGTACTCCCACCATCCGGAAGGCCTTCCTCGTATGTCCCGGCACGACGTGAATATAGTATACCGTCAACAAGTACCCAAGATCGTATAATCCGTTGCGTTAGTCTTTAGTCGCGAACGTGAAGCGCGTTGCTTCTTATTTCGTTGAGAGATTCGTCGCACAGAATGCGCAATAGAGATGAGAGGGAAACGAGAACGATTTTTAAAAATATTTAGCAGCGTGAAAAAAAATTTGAGTAATTTTGAAAGTCAATAGTACTTTCATTTGTGTACGTGAATAGCTAATTTAAAACAATATTATTTGTATTTCCTCTTCCGTGTATTATTGTCTAACGCTTTGGGCCAAAGCATCACTATTTAATCTGAATCGGAAATTACAATGCTTTATGGTTTCTAAATTAATACTGTGATTGCACCAGCTAATTACTGATCGATTATTGAATTATTTTGGTAAGCCGATAAGTGGATTTTATATTATTACTAATGCACCGTATCTATAATACAAAATACCAACACTAAGCCTCCTAATACATATATTAAAGTGCATTACTGCATGAGATTGATATGAGAATATAAAAAATCTTTATTCTACGCGTAACGTAATTATTATCAAATAATTAAGTGCTTGTGAATTTTTTAATATTCGAATTTTCCCGCCACTCGTCTTATTCCGTACATAGTAACAATAACATACGTAGACTGAAACTCCGTGTAAATAATTGTTTTGATAAAAAAATTTATATTTTATTAGAAAAAATATTTTACTCTTTAATTTAATTTGTTTACATCTAGTTGATATTATCGCTAGGAAAATCTGAGCGTTTGCTTTACTAATCTAGTTTCTTCGCTGTTATCGCAAAATCAACTTGGATGGTGGATAATACATAAGCCTCGGATGAGTACGGATTGGTATTATCGATTAATCTAGATGCATAACAAAAGTATCAGATCAATCTATCAATATTGATAAATCAATCTCTTTCAAATCGTCAAGTAAATTTTTCATTGGCATCACCTAAGAGATATCTATTTCGTAGATGGCAGCACGATAGAACGTCTTTCATTTCACATTAAAGAAATCGGGAAAAAACCGATGAATTCTTAAAAGTATAAAAAAAAACTTTTTTCGCGTCACCGTCGAGACTAGAATGCCGGTTTCGCCATGTGGACACGGGTATTTCTTGTTTAGCGATGCTCTCGGTAAACAATTAACTAAATTAATGTAAATTAATCTAATGGGGCCAGCGACGCTATTGCGTCCTCTGACACTCGCGGCACATAGTAGCACTCTATTTTACACATAGTGACTATCACGAAATTTTATTCGTTATCACTTTGTTGCATACTCTTTATTATGGTATGCCTTTATCAGCTAGATGCACTTTATCCCTATAAATAAAAAAATCAACAAACAAGCAAATATCACGATTTCATGGAACCTTAGTCGAAGCATTGATAGCTTTTGTAGCAACACACAACCTCGATGGCCTATACTACAAGTCGTGTACAAATACTTTGTAGAGGCCATCTTCTTATCACAGTCAACGCAAAAAAGGCCTTTGTCTCACGCTTTATTCGTGGGTCGACTATAAGCACTTGAGCAGGCAATCTAATTGGAAGCAATGTAAGATCTTAACATTTCTACAAGCTCTTGTATATGTCAGAAGAAAACAAGTGGTCAAGATGTCCTTATTAATCTTTAGATAGTAAATACAGTACAAGATATAGAACTTCGCTATCAGCTACGTATAATCAATATTTATTTATTTATTGCATTGTTGACATAAATTCCAATACTGCAACGATACAATACCTTATAATATTGGCATTGGTGTCTTTTTATAATCATAGGAAACATACGGCAACGTATGTATATTATAATCGTGTGGCATATGTATGTACATCGCCATAATTTATTTGTGCACTGTCACTGAAGTACTCGTAATAAATTGAATAGTGGGCTATATTTAGTAATCGAATAGCCATTCTAAGAAGTTTTTAATTCTGTCTGATTGCTCACTTCTTGGTAATCACTTCGTTTTATTGATTTTGTCCAGATGATATCGGAAGAATCGATGACACTTGTATCGATAACGCAAGTGTGTGAGTTCACGTGGAACTACAAACGGTCAAAAATATTCCTCTCGATATTTGCTATAGTACGAAGTTTTGCCACACACGTGTTCAGAGTATGAATAACCGTTGGATTAAATGAACAATAGATATGAAAATCTTAATAAATTTTACAGCTTGGTAACAAAATGGAGCTGCGCAAAAATTTGAATCTCTCGGTTCGTCAATAGTCAGCTTGAAAAATAATTAACCTTCAAATTCAGTATAAACTCTCTTTTATTAGATCTATGTCTATTTTTTTAACGGAATTATATGTTGATTTAATTACATTGTCTCGACCTGCTTGCACTTCTATTTTATTTTGTGATGCTAACAAGAGAAACACGTGCTCGTTCTCTTATTGGTCAAGTCGCTGACGAAGTAGTCTACCAGTGGAAGGGACTGAGGTGCGAACCTTAAGGCTAGTTCACACTCGGAATTCTATCGGAGTGGCTCAAACGCGAAGTACAAACATGGCGAGCAAACAAGATCGAGGCAACCTGCAGCAAACAGCTCTTGCTCTTCTTTTCCAGCTCGTAAATTATCGTCTCAGACTTCTCTAAGAAGAAAACGATTCTTTTGCCATAGACTCTCTATATTATGCTAAACTTTTAATAGATCACACGGGACAAGTGTACGTATAATACATTTCCAGTGCAAATATAATTATACAAGTAATGCATTGTCTGTAGAATGCATTTATGGCGGACAAGAGGCTAAGAATTTTCAGTTCTCTTTTTACCGAGGAATACATTGCTTAGAGAGAATTGCATATTCTTAAGAAAATTTTCCGAGCACGTATGTATACTTAACCTTAAAATAAAGGAAGAATCACGTGAAACCCAATAATTGCCTTAGAAATTAGTTGAAGAAAAAATGTGTGAATAATTTAAAAAATAGGGACAATGTTAATTTCATCATTATACCCATTTGTATTCTTAACGAAGTAAACCTTGGACTAACTTCAAAGGTTCCTTTTTCATTTATCTACCATTACTCGTCACGTGCATCAAATTCATCATATTCGTAATTATAACTTAAGATTAACATGAGGCCTATGATAAGCAAGATTAATTTTTGTCAAACGAGTTAAGCACTTACGAAATCCCATTTCTTAAAATTTACTAACCTATTTAATAAACTGCGTGACTCCGTAAGGATCAGTCGGTAGCCAAGCATCGTAACGCGTACCATGCAATATTCTGTAATTCCCATTGAGCATCTACGTCAACTTCATAGAACAGTCCTTGACTAATACGGAAAACCACAAACTGTCACAGCTCAAAGAAAAATAATACTACTCACCGCATTCACGTTGTTTCTTCAGTTCGTTGTCGGCAGGAGAGAAATTTTCCTAATATGAAGCGTAGCGGATTGAGGTTATACCGAAAAGACATTATTCTACAAGAACTATAACGATTGATTAGTTAGTCTCAAGTATATCTGTATCTACATTTAGTACACGTATCTCCATCCGTTTTCTTTCTAAAGGGTTAACGTCCTGTCTTACTTACTGACTTGTGTTAAATAGTCGCGCGGGTTTCTCGGTCGTTTAGCAAGGCCGATTTCGTGATAGTCACTCAGTGTACGAGTTGGCTCGCCTGTTAGTTAGTCAGGAACGTAGGACGATGAAAATTTCATCTGTCTAAGTTGGGGACTTGACTGTTGAATTCATCAGGCCTACCAGAGTGGCATCACAACGTGACAGATTGAATATAATCAACGAGCGTTGTTAGAGACAAGAATCATAGAAAGCTAAAAATGTTTTTCTATACTAGATAATAATGACGATTAAAAAAATTGTTTAACAAACATAGATATTTCAAAACAGAAGAAATTCACGAAAGACAATTTTATAGGTACTGGTACTAATGGATTTGGTATCTTTTACAGTGAAAGACAGTGAGGCGCCGTGATATCTGGAAGAGTGGTGCTCGAGGAGGAAAGTGATGTATAGAAGAAAAAGTGTAAGAGAAAAATTGTAAAAATATTTCCGATGGAATATCACCTGATGGAAATCGAGAGTTAATCATTTTTCTCAAGTGGCAAGTGGTATTAGAAACAGTCAACGCCGTGCAAACCACTGATAAGTCAAACAAGAGAAATGTTGTACGCAGAAGATACGTAGCACTGATTACAGAGTCAAGTACTTGCAAAATCCTTAAAAGTCACTGGAAGGGTTACCAAAGTCGAATGACAGTCATCGAACGTACGTGAAGTGGTAGCGACAGGGAATGTGCTTCGATCCACCGGAATAGATGATTTCGTGACGAAGGCCTTATTGAAGTGACGGAGGAGAATTCTTTTACAGTACATATATATATTATATATATATTATTGATATTAAAAAAAAATAATAATAATATCACGAGAATGTCGAAGAAGCAATGGTTGGTTCTGTTGATGCTTTTCTTGACTTATCTATTGTTGGGTGCATCGATATTTTATCACATAGAGAGCAGATTAGAAATTAAGAAGATACAGCAGGCAAGAGAGGAGCGCATTGAAATCTATGGTGAGTTTAATTGGAAGGATATATAATTGTCACATTTCCCTTTTTCTATTTAATAGCCAATTAAATATAATTTATTCCGGATGCGTATGGGGGGGAGGGGCATGGTCTAGTACGATAATAAAAAAGACTTGTCTAATAGTGTTCAATGAATTGACTACAGTCAGTAAGCAAATCGATCCTCTCTAATTGGAATAGTCGAACGATTAATTTCCTCCATTCACGGTCGGCATTGGATGACCCTGTTGAATTACATTCGCACAGGATACCTATGCTTTACAGGTGCATTCATAAATGCTCCTTTACTACACAGAGTTTCATTCAAATACAATTTTTATTAAACATTTACCAAAGCTATGCATAGTGCTGATCTTGATTGGTGGCAGTAGTACCCTGTATATTTTATCATTCAAATCTTGTGACACGCGCATGCGCGTACAAACTGTTTCGAATGTAACGACCTGTAGGTCCGAGTGGTAGCAATGTCGTCAATTTTTATATGCAGAGCTGTGCCCCACGGGTATTATAATCAGTTGAAGGAAGGCTAGCTTTGTTCGAATACAGTTGAGCACAATGTCGCGCAATACGACTGGGCAGTGTCAGTGTCATTAAGAGCCGATGACGAAACTAACAACACACAGGCGCCGGTTGCCACTCCTGTCAATACTGTTGAATGACGATCGTTCCCATAGATCATAGACTATTTACTGGACGCATTCGTATACAAAGATCGTTAGAATGATGAATGTCGGTAAAGTGATACTAAATACGTACAGTATGTAAATGATGGTGACAGAAAAATTAATGACGGTATTGGATTGTTACGGGGAAGAGTCGTCAGGATCGTCAAAATCAACAAGATCGTTTGATACCCCTGCACAATCATCAATGGACCTTGTACCAGTATTACTTTGACACGTTACTCGTCTTGTGTGGGTTTCTTGAAATCTTCAGGTATTTTTACAACGACTTGTCCTGTGTCCTTTTATATCGAAGAGGATCATTAAACGGGTATAAACGTTCTTGCTACGTTGACGTATCAGGCGTGGTACAGGAATAATTTTGTCATTGTCGTCATTGGACGATTAAAATCATTTTAGTGGGAAATTGTTACTGTAATTTATACTACACATACCTATATGTGGATGACTATGGTATGGAATTTACACTTAATTCAGATGGGGCTACTGATAGGCACTGCAGGGTTACTTATAAGGTAATAGATATATAGGTGTGTATATATATATATATATGTATATATATGTTGGCTTACACGGAAATTCAATGAATGACTCATATTGTATTTTAACGCAGGAACAACCAAACCTGTCCAAATGACGAATTTCAAATCTCTTGTTTTGAATTGCAGAAATTATTAAGGTGCTTTTTTTCGGAATTTATGCTGATTTTTGTCGAGATAAGAGAATGAATGTATGTGCCAATTTATTTTTGGTGAATCACTCAAATTTCGAAGATCTACATATGATACCTAAATACACTGAACACAACGCTGGTTGCTTTAGCGTTACGAATAATTTGCATGAACAATTATGCATGAGATCAATCATGAACTCTGAACTTGACTTGCAATGTGGAATTGTTTCAGACTAATCCGAACCTTCGAATTTGGGCAACGATAAGACTAGATTTTGCTATCGCGTTTATAAAATATGTGACGCACTTTTCACAATAATCGTAAACTTTTATTACGGAATCATTGTAAGTGGAGGTATTTCAACAAAATTATATAAAGAACAAGCTAGATACGTTATATTTGCGTCATTCCAATCTCTTTTGCCTTGACTGTACAAACTAGATCCTCGTGTGTTGGTAGCCGTTGAAATATATTTTTTTACCCGTGACCCCCTTTTTAATATTCGCGATACTTATTTTTCACAACTTTTCGTATTTCCATCTTTTAATACGTGTGTCTATATTTATTTGATGCATTAGAAATACGCATTATACGTGTTACCCGTGCGTCTTATAAAGAGGTACAATCTTTGTCGCACCTATTGGTTTGTCATACAAACTTCGCTCTCTCGACAATTGAGCAAATGGAGGTTATACGGCCGGTAAATATCGACTGATAAGATAATGGGTCGCAATTTGCTTGGAAGACGGGCCTAATCAAGAGGGATTATATATCCCGTGCGAATTAATAAAAGCTGCTACTATTATAAGCATACCTAAATTGTCCGGAAGTCCTTAGTTGCATATAAACGCTGAAAATAATTTCGCAATAGTATCCCAAGGTAAATACGATTCAAGGTCCCCCTTGGTTCCCACTAATCGTCATCATGAAATTCACCATACGAAAAGTCCTTCTATCTTTATACACCAAGGATAAAGATTTTGAAAAATGTTTTTTTTTTCACTTTTTTTACAGATCTTCTACAGAAGCACTACGTTCCAAATTACAAACACGATCAGAAGGAGATACTCACTAAGTTAACCATTTATTGTGGCAAGTCCGTTTTCAATTATACAGAGGGTGAATATGTCCCCCAAAAATGGGATTTTTACAACAGTTTTTATTTTGCCTATACAGTCGTTAGCACCATTGGTAAGTTTTAGTGTATGAAGCGGATTATGTGTATTTATTAAAAAAATTTGTTAGTTCGATTAACAGGGATTATTTGTAACAGGATACGGAAATCTGGCGCCTACAAATATGCTTGGTAGAATTTTGATGATTTTTTATGGACTCATCGGCATCCCCATGAATGGTATTTTACTGACGCAACTCGGTGAATTCTTTGGTAACGTCTTCGTCAGGGCTCACAAGAAGTACAAGTCTTATAAAAGAGGTCACAGCGACTCGCCAAAAAAGCTTACCCCATTGGAGACCAGGAAGGCTGGATTTGCTGCTCAAATATTTATGTACTTGATACCTGGATTTGTCATGTTTATATTTTTTCCGGCATTTCTATTTTCGCATTACGAGGGTTGGAGTTATGACGAGGCTGTTTATTACGCATTTGTCACACTGACTACCATTGGATTCGGTGACTACGTTGCTGGTAAGACATACTTTTTCTCAATTTTCATATTAAATAATTACATAATAATATCCGGGAAGCGTGACAATTTATTGCAAAATTTCATTCAATTTTTGCTTACACGAGGAATATGTGCGAGGTAAGTCTGAGGTTGCTTCATAAATGGTACATGGATTTCTTTCTTGACAATCATTGAAGTTAGGTTAGGTTTATTCATATTGAATTGAGTCGATAGAGAACATATTCATTTAACGCATGCACGAATGCAAATTTTTGTTTTTAACATTTCTGTTAATACCTGTTTTAACGTTCTGTTCAAATAGGACAAGATAATACCAAGGGTAGCGGAATCTTTTTTATTCTCTATAAAACTTTTCTTATATGCTGGATATCATTCGGTCTCGGTTACATTGTCATGATAATGACTTTTATAACACGCGGAATGCGGAGTAAAAAAATCACAAAGCTCGAGCACAAGCTGGCCATGAATCTTAAGCATACCCAGAGTAGGATTTGGACTGAATTTAATAAGGAAGTAGGATACCTTAGGAGGATCTTCAATGAGTTGCAACTCTCTAAAGTCAAGGTAACGCGGCGATTTCTCTATTAGTTTAGTTACCCACGCTGGTGCAAAGGGTGGCTAATAAAGAGTTAACGTTATTTCAGAGGATTTACGTAGACGAGTACGACTACGAAACACCCCCGACAAAATTCTCACGTAGCAGCAGCTTTCCGGATATCAGGGATCTTGTTTATGGCGGTTTGGAAACTCCAATTCCGCCTCATCCAAGACGACGAGCGAATAGTGCAGTAGTACCGATGGTCAGTTGTTTATTTTGAAATGATTAATAACGAACTAATGCGATTAATTGATGCTCATCATTATTAAATTTTCCACTCAGGAGGCTCAGGTGATTCGCGTAGCATCGGAAACCGATCTGCAACGAATCGACAAGACTGCAACATTTGCATCCCACGCGATAGTTCAGCCTGCAGAATTATTGGCACGTCTGGTGAACGTCCTGGGTTACATACCACCGATGTCGGATGATCAGGAGCAGAATCAGGAGGAGAAGGGTGTGCAGGGTTTCAGTGATAAGGAGATCTTGAGTAACGAGAGATCTTGGAATGGATCGGGTTGGAGAATCGGTAACGAGAAGATATCTCAAATCAAGCCGAGGTCCAGGGCGACTAGTGAAATTAGACTAGATGCCAAGAATGAGAATCCTGTCCACCAGCAGAACACTGAGTGGACCTGGTCGGGTCCAGCTGCCTCTGGAAAGATTCAGGAACTTATAAAGGCGCGTAGAACGTCCAGTAATAAGGATGGCAAGTCCAGGTTCCCATCTTTCAGTCTGCCGTCGGTTCCTAAGGCTATATTGCCAAGGTGGATCAGGCAGTTTTCAAACAAGAAGACTGCTGATGAACGGTCCAGTAGGAATTCAATAGCACCTGAAGACTGCGAAGGTGGCGTCTCTGAGAACTATCTCTCTCACACGGGCAATACTCCATTTAATATGGATAGGAGAAGCTCCAATTCGCGCGCCTACTTTACTCACACAGGAACTGGAAATCTGCCTACTTCCTTGGAGGGTAGTCATTTCTTGGAAGAGACATCGGTAGGCGATTTTCTCAGGGCGCTGACAGCACTCCACAATAGAGTCGGTGCTATACCTGACGACTATGCTGGGAAACCCCAGAGGAAGTTGGGTACAGCCAGTCTGACACCACCGAAGCTTCCTAGTCTTCTGACACTGTTTTCACCACTTTCCGGCACCACCTCCGGAAGTAATAGTCATCAAAGTACATTCACAACCGCTCAAAGTCCTAGTAGAAGGTTCTCCCTGATGACTTCTGAAAATTCTGGTAACTCTACACCTAGCTATTGTAGAAGAGGTAGTATTGCACCAGCTGTTAAACCGAGAAGGTTCTCCCTGAGACCCGTCATAACTCCTGGAGGAACGCCACCGCTTCATAATTCTCCGTACCTTTCGGTAAGTAGACTGTTAATGGAAGGCACATGATTGAGATTTTTGTTCTATTGTACAATATTTTTTTATTTTCTGTAGCGTCCCAGGCATACAACACGAGGACAAAATCCATCGCCATATTCAGCAGATCCGTTTGTCTTCGAATGTCCTAAGGAACCTCTGGTAAATATGGAGAGTGGACCAGGGGTCTCATCGCCTGTGAGTACGGTTGCTAGTCGGAGAAGATTTTCCTTGAGACCGGCTCAAATCGGTGTTCCGCCGGCACCAGCGAATCCTATACCCTCAGCGACATCACTGGCAAAGCCCAAGTGGAGGGCAGGCCTTCTTCAGAGGCAAATAACTGAGATGAATCTTCAGAAGAGGGTGCGGGCACTCAGTCTAGGCGACGTCAATGTAGAAACTTCTGAGAAAACTCAAGTTTTAAGCCCACTGGTGCTTTTCGACAAAGGCGGTTCGTCCGTCCAGAAGGATTCCTTTAATAAATTTCAGGGGAAGGCCAGTCCTCTAGTATCGCCCAGGACACTAACTATAGTGCCACCGGATCCTGGAAGTAGGATCATGGATGCGAAGCAGATGAACAGTCAAATTGAGCCCTCTGCTATAAATCTTTTTGTTGTACCACCATCTAATTTGACGGCTCATACCCAACCAATCGTATCGTGTACTAATCCATTTATCGGAATTAACAACGGCGAAAATGTGAACCAGACAGGAGTATTTCAGTTCTCTAGTGAGAAACCTAATGATTCTTTGGAACTGGAATCCGTGGTGATTGATTCACCTTCGAGAGAGGCTGAGACTATTTCTGAAACCTTAGCCAAAGTCAAGAGTATCACGACTGCACCAATTTCGACCCAGACAAATGTAGAGAGTGTTACAGGTACTGATACAATTTTGAAAAATGATCCTGCGCAACATCCTATAATAGTTACGGATCTCCAAACTGATAAAATTTCAGAAATTTCGAAAGTTGGTACAAATATAATGAAACAGTCTGCAATTAGTATAGCTACAAAACTAGAACTAGATAATGACAAAATCGCCATAGTATCTACTAATAAACTCAACAATACAGATGATGAAAATAGCAGAAGCATCTCTGTAGTCTCTACAGTTGATGATATGGAAAAATTGAGAAACAGCCACGGGTCAGAAATTGATACTAGACCGCCTAGTCGAAGCACATTTACAAATTCTCAAAGCAGTACAGTCATCCTGGGAAGTCAGACAAGTGAAGAGGAAGCAGTATCCGAACCAAGATCCAAAAGTAGAAAAATATCAGATATCGCCACTAAATCGTCCAGTAGAAAAATTTCAAGGATCTCACAGCGAAGTACATCATCCTCTGATAGATCCGCAAGGGTCGATGATGACGCATCCAGTCGTAAGGTGTCAACAGTATCTATAGAGCCATGGGCAGACTGTCAAAAATATTCTACAGGTAGTAGAAAAATTTCCACAGTATCTGGTCAGAGTGTTTCAGTAGGTTCTAGTACAAATAGTCGGAAAAATTCAACAGTGAAATCACCAGGAGATAAACCATGTGTATCCATAGATTCATATAAAACTATAACGGAGGTGACCATAGAAAAACCTAGTATTAATCCGTTCGAACAGTACAAGGCTACCATGGAAAAAAATACCCAGGAAGAGAAAGAATCTCTTACTCAAGTCATGGTGGATCCTTCAGATGTAAAGACAGAAAGTAGAGTAAGGAAATTATCTAGAATGCTCCTTCATACACCTCGAAACGAGTCCGAGGATTAGAAAGTTAAAAGAGTTGTTCGGATCTCAAACAAAAAAAAAAGACAATAATTAATATAGAAGCCATTAGAATTCATTGTGCGTGCAATTAAAAATAAGTCACTTGTAGTATTAATTTGCGTACAATAAGCACACGGTATTCTGTGATAATACCGTGATAATATTGACACGCTATCGTCTCGACAAGTACGAAACGAGACCTCGAGCTAAAAGCCTCATAAATAATTTTGTTCCTTATTTAATCGTAGATACAATGTGATGACAAAGTGATCAAATAAATGACTGCGTACGCTTAACGTAATATATTATACGTATATTGATTGGCTGTTGGATACGATTTTATATAAATGTACATATATACACATTGTCGAATAAAATAATTAATATGATAGAATAGAGTGTTACTGTGATAGGGATAAATGATACACGTAATAGCATAAACTGAACGCGTGATTTATTCGGAGGGAAAGTAAAAAGATTTATGATGGTGCAATAAGTTAAAAAGTGTAGTTGGTTTTCTCTAGCTATAGCGACAAGCATTCCTTGCAGCTCTGAAGTTCCGTGACAAGTGTAAAATCATAAGTTGTTGAAGATGCTCCAGAGTGAGGATTGTGTCAATCCCCGTATAGAGGTGTAACTAACTAATCAGGTGAGAATTAAGGATTAGAAAATTGATGAACTAGAATTCCTTTTGTGAATTCTTTATCCACTGGCGGATCTCAGAAATGAGTTTTTCACGGGGTACTGCCTTTTCGATGCGGGTTTTTATTTCTCTTAGAGTAACTTCCCCACGAGCAAGCTCACTCTGGCCGACGATGATAGCTAGTGGTATTCCGTATTCTTCGCAGTGCTGCAACTGATCCAGTAATCTTGGACTTTTCTTATAAGATTGCTCAGCATTCAGACCCGCATCCCAAAGATCAGTAATTAGTCGCATCCGTTCCTCATGGAGATTCTTTTGAGCTGTTGCTACAAAAACATCCACTTCCGTTGTACGTGTTTTAACTCCAGAACTTGCTATCTTCGCCTCCAGGACGCTGAAGATTCTCTCGACACCTAATGATATCCCGACGCAAGGTACTATTTTTTTCTTGACATCGAACATTCCTACTAAATTGTCGTACCGGCCACCACCAGCTATGCTACCGACTTCAACATTATCGCCTGAAAACGAATACTCACGTTATTCCTCTGATTTGTTCATATATTTGTTTTTTATAATTGTTTATTTGCTCACCGATTAATACTGCTTCATAAATGATCCCTGTGTAATAGTCCAGTCCCCGCGCTAAACTAAGTTCAAAGCTGATCTTATCGGTAAGTTTGTAAATATCACAATATTTCAATAGAAGTTCTAAAGCATTCAGAGCTTCCACAGCTGTCGCTTGTTTCATCAGTTCTACGTCATCTCTCAGTTCCTTGATAAGGTCACTGCGACCGTGTTTCGACACGTAGACCCCAATCTTGTCAGCAATTACTGGATCTAGCTGTTTTTCTTCGATCATTTCCTTGCGCACCTCTTCCCAGGATGCCTTATCTAGTTTGTCCACAGCTGAACATATGCCGCGAAATTTATCTTGAGGGACGCCGCAGGTTGCGAATATTCCATCCAGGAGACGTCGGTGATTGATCTTTATTTTGTAAGAACCCAGATCGAGTGCGTTTAACGCCTCCGCAATCACACGAAGACATTCTGAATCTGGTAGCATCAAATCATACTGACCAGCTATATCGAAGTCCTGCGAAAATTAATGCAATACCAAACTATCAAGCATCACCGTTTTATAAAAAAGATCAAGATGACCTTTATGTACTCTAATGCTCACTTACACATTGATAGAATTCGCGATATCGTCCCTTTGTCATGGCTGGATTGTCCCTACGATAAACTTTTGCAATATGGTACCTTTTTATGTTTGTTAATTTAGTCATTGCAAGGTACCTCGCGAAAGGTACCGTAAGGTCATATCTAAGAGCTAATAGTTCTCCACCCTGGTCTTTAAGGTCGTAGATTAGTTTAGAGTCCTCTCCATATTTTCCCGTTAGAACTTCCTGCATGAAGAAAAAGTTACGAAGGATTTGTACAACCGTAATGATTGCTGAAGACCAAATAAATATAAAGTCTACTAACCTTAAGTTCAAAAATCGGCGTATCTATGGTCTCCGCCCCGTGTCTTTTGAAAACCGTTATTATTTTATCCAAAACAGACAAGCGTAACGCCATTTGTTCGGGATTATAGTCACGTGTACCTTTTGGTGTTTTAATGATAAATTTTTGTGGTCCTGCATTATCGTCATTTAACTTAGCCTTTAGATCTAGTAATTTAGAGACTTCTTCGGCAATCTGTAAACAGAAAGGTTCATGTTACTCACTCTGTTTTCATTTATGCTAATGTATACAATGAGCAAAGTCATGAGCTAATGAATAAAGAAATATTTGAAAACCATCCAGAAACAGAGTGACAATAAGAGACACTCTCGTACCTGGGGTGTAGTGACGGTTGCCATGTTGCGACAGTGCCGTGTAGCCAGGATCAAATTGATGTGCATCAGACGAAACATCGTATCAATTTGTGGAAGTATACCAGAACCAGAATCAAAGAGAAAAGTCCGCTTCAGTGTTGGTTACTGAACTACCCGAAACACCAGACATAATACAAGTTAGCTAACATGCTGCCACAGAATATCATCTATGCTATAGATTATTTTCATTTAATTTTAAATATAAATTTCAGGAACCAAGACATTTACTTGTTAGGATTCTTCATTTGATTATTAAAGCTCAGATAAAAAAACTATATCTTATATCTTTTCATAGCAATTTTGCTTATTTAAGTTATTTTTGAGCAAATGTCAATGCAAAAACATGAATGATATCTAATTTTATAACAATCAATTACCGCAGAAACTAAATATAGATATAAGAAAAATGTTATCACAGTGCACAACTCAACATTATCCATTACAATGCATTTACACCAGATAATAACTATTGTGGTATAGCACAAATATACTTTTTGATTTTGATTCATCTAATCTGTGGCAGCGCTGTTCTGATGCAATACTGCCTCACCTTCTCATCAAGGCCTTTAGAGTTTTGAAAAGAAATGCTAGTCAACTGTTCAACTTTCTTTGCCAACTGTGAAAGTGGGGTTTTTGGAGCAGGGAATGCTTTGCGCTCCAAAGGTGTATAGCTTCTCAAATGAGAAAACCACCTCTGCAGATGAGGATGGTTCATAAATTCCCCATTGAGGAATGATTCACATGAATCATACAACTTTGTATCCAACGTAGTTGGTATCCAACCACAGACATAGCTGACATCCAAAAATTCTTTGTCTAATTGTTTTAGATCATCCTTTAAATTTACTGCTTTATGTGATCCCTGGGAAACGAAACGATTTTAAAACCGGCGTTCAGGAATAATAATTAGGATAATAAATACAGTGCTACTATTAGCTGAAGGGTAGGGAAAAACTAGGAGAAAAAACGGCAAGACTTTCGAATCGATATTAGAGACGAGACGATTGGAACAATGAAAACCAATAGAATTTAGTGAAAGTAACGTAGCACTTTATGTTAGTCTCGGATGGTTGCGGTTAGTGCTCGATGCAGTCAGAACGAAAGTTGTCCATATGGCTGTAGTGTTTCGAATATCTTTATTATCATATATCTCGATATATATAACTCTTTAGTCCTTTACCTTAGCATTATCAGCTTTCGCAGCTTTTAATTTTCGTACAAGATCTCCCTGTTCCTTCACCAGTTCCAGGATCTTCGCTCGAGTTTCGTCAGCCATTGTGTACCACGCGGTTTTCTTCCAACACTAATCTCGGTTCAGTTTCATGCGTTTCGTCTGACAGTTCACTGCTGACTGAACGAACTTCACTTGGCTGTCGTGGCGTACGTATTACGCAAGGCACCGTGACCAACTTTGAAACCTGCTTTCATTTACCTCCGGAATTGATATCAATGCGAATAGACACTATAGGCACATTCTAGTAGCAGATTTTCTATTTATCAACAATGAAATTATGGATGACAGTATATTGACTACATAATGATTAAAACTGTTGTTGTTTGGTAAACAACAATTCTGTATTGTGCTCGACAACGATGACTATGCATTATTCTTAATTCCTTAAAAAAAATGTTCGTTGTTCATTTATTTGCGAACCCACCTAACTCAATTATGCTAATCATATGTCCCGGACTTTTTGCGAATGTTCCAAGTTTATTTTTGAATTATGACGAAACGTTAATGCATTGACAGATATTCGCAAAAATTGTACAAGTTATGAACGTCATATTATCTCATTAAAATTAGATAGCTTTGAAATTATGTACCATAAATAAAATAAATTGTTAATTGAGCACAAAATATGCACTTTTCTGTAACTTTGAACTGATTAAAAACATTACAAAATAATGTATCCGTCAAGTGTCTATAATATATAACTTGGATAGTTGGGAGAAGTTTGACTGGAGGCTCGACTCGCAGCGTTCTACTAGTTACGTCTACAGGTACTTTCAATTCTAGGCCAAACGTACCTAGGATAGTGATTATGTGATTATTAGAATAGAAACAGGTTTTCCATGTAGGTCGCGTATGCAATGTCAGATCCTTTCCATTTCAATGAATTACATCCACGTGGAGAAACAAAACGGAATTGCATCGTCTGTAAGATAGCGCCATCTCTACGAAATGCATAAACATCAAATGAAAATCTTTTAAATTCAAATATTCCTTACAGGCGTTTTCTTCATAGACAAACGAACACTACTACATCTAGATAACTTTTATTAACCAATATAATTGTTATCGTTTACAAATGACACGGACACTGGTGCCCGCCACTCAACGGATACAATGAAACGTTAACGTTTACAATTAATGAGTGGATGAATTAAGTTAATTACTTGAGAGTCTTATCGCTAATCGATTTAAGAACTGGTTACTCGACGACACTTATCATACTTGTTCTTCTACATTTAATGTTGAGTCGTGTTTGTATTCTTTATTTCCATACGTCGTAATAATAATCATTCGTCCGTCACTACAAATGATCATCTCAAGCCGTTTCATGTGAATATGTGATCTCACGTAAATCCCATATTTTTAAATCATTATTCTCCTTCTTTTTTTGCTCCAATAATCTGGTTACAATGTCCCGTTGTGCGTGTTATGTATAATGTATGTGTACAAATTTTAATTGTATACTCGAAGACATCAAAAACTTTCTACTTAATGTATTAATAATCTCAATAAGTATGGACGTGCGATTTGCGGCTGAGAAATTCGGTTATGAAAAATTCTTGTCGATTTTTGCGTCGCAATTAACATGTATATCCCCTTGAACGTTTTCATCATTCTTTCTCAACAATCGGCGCAGAGGCGTGCGCGGCAATATTTATTTTATTGTTTTTTAATTTCTCCTACGCAGGTCGCTCATCCATCACTTAACTGTTAGGCTTACGGCTACTGTTAAATAGAATAATGGTACATATACAAGAATTCTTGGCCACCCGTTAAATTTCTTTTTAAGCACGTGGGCTAAGCACAAAGACACGTCGCCTATTTTCTTGCGACCTCCGCAACGATATTCATTGGATTCTTTGACTAAATTATTAAAGAAGATTATGGTTTCTGCGTGTCAAGTAAAAATTGTCCACGCTGTTCCTAATAAATGTTAGAGATGGATGGGTCATTATTATTATTATCGTTATTAATGAGTTTTTACTTTTTTCAGACTTTGAATGTTTTCTTTTTTTCTTTTTTTTTTAAAGAACGGTTTCTTTCTTCGTTAATCGGAGGTTGGTCCGGTGTGGCAGTGCCTTGTTTTATCTACTTTTAACGGTAATCCAATTAATATATATGTATATGAATAGAATCGGCTGATGGAGACTCTTTAATAAAATAAAAATCTCGATGGCAAGAAAATTCTCAGCTTGCTTGTATACGGATATATAATATACATCTAACTGTATATACTAATGAGAGTTTGTCAGGATTTCAGATATTCCAAAAATGCCTTGCTGTTTTTGTATACCCAGTGCAGAGTATTGGTGAAAAGATTTGACAACCAAATTAGTTAGGTATGTAGAAGCCAATTGCATTGCCGTTTTTATGGCTCAACGAATCATGCTGTTTAAACACTATTGATTTCTTTTGGTCAATTGGCAATATTTACCTGACTGTAACTTTAACATTCCAATTGATTATACTACATGAAAATATACGATACGCACACACTTAATGTAAAAAATAATGCCAACAATATATATATATATATATATTTATATATATATAGGGCGGTGATTTCGTTTCACAGACACTCTGCTGAATTTTCGTTTCTTTTTACTGATATTTACATCACATTCAACACTCATCAATCTTACACGTTGAATTTTTTCGTTTTTAATTTAATCTTTCTCGATCGTATTTATATGTTTATATATATATAATATCAATGATTTCATTTCGGGTAATGCATGTATGTATATCCATATGTATATAATAATAATATTGGTGATTCATCATCTCCGTTATTACTACTAATTAAAATATCTCGAGCGATATACCTGGATATTTGGATAATCAAGAAAAATGGGATATTTTTTTTTGTGGACGGGGTACTTTATTCGTGAGGGTCTCATATGAAGTGGGAGGACAGCCTTTTTTTTAAGATACCGGCAGATGGTGAAAAATTGAAAATTGATATAGGTATCAATTAAAATCGAAGAGAATTATTTGTCGAATTAATTATCGATATCTGGTAAGTTAGGTTAGGATAGCATGAAGTGAATTGGTATCGTCTAGTCAGTAATAAATTTTGAAAAGATTTAAGTATTTCGCTCAAATTCTTCCTTAAGCATTAATTAATGCAGTTATCAATTAATCTTTCGTAGATGATTAATATCTATCAACGCATTCGTACCTGCCTACAGTATATTTATGTATTACATATATATATATATATATATATATGAATTCGAATGCTCATTATGTACTTGTCCCGTGTACACTATGTTTTTTTATCAATTGAGTTTTCCTTGTTTTCTCTATATGCCTACAGTATATTTATGTATTACTAAGTTAGGTTAGGATAGCATGAAGTGAATTGGTATCGTCTAGTCAGTAATAAATTTTGAAAAGATTTAAGTATTTCGCTCAAATTCTTCCTTAAGCATTAATTAATGCAGTTATCAATTAATCTTTCGTAGATGATTAATATCTATCAACGCATTCGTACCTGCCTACAGTATATTTATGTATTACATATATATATATATATATATATATGAATTCGAATGCTCATTATGTACTTGTCCCGTGTACACTATGTTTTTTTATCAATTGAGTTTTCCTTGTTTTCTCTATATTCCCTTAATGCATTTATATTGTGTCTCCCACTTTTCATTGTCTCCCTTTTCTTTCTACTAAAACTACTGATATTCTACTATATAGTTCGTAGTTCATAATGACTGGATTTTAATAATCTGACTCCCTTATCGTATCCTTTGTCTCGTTCCGATTGGCTTATGCGCTTTGATACGCTAGAAAAAAAATATTCTCTATGATCTATACACACGTTGTGTTATTGTTACACAGGTTTTCTTTTAATTTTATATGGTATTTTCCGTTACTTTTGTGATCAATTATATAACTCATACGATTACAAGGGTGTCACGTAGCGCTCTTAAACGTTGTTCTACTTTCCGACACTCCGAGTTAAAATTTTTTCTCTTAACTCTTACTTTTTTTTTTTATTTTTGTTGTTGCCATTTTTTTCTGCACTACGCGCGTGCGTGAATCTCCGTTTTATAATTCAACAGTCATTATGCTGGATCGTGTTTTCTTTTCTCAAACACATTAATCTCCCACGCTACGTAAAATAGCGATAAAAATATCCTAAAACGTAGAAACAATTTTGTACTTTACAACCACGCAATAAACGCGGATGCCAGCGTGAAAGCGAACGCATTATTTGATAATTGTATATAAGTCCTTATTGTTTGCTCGTTTATTTTTTTTTATTTTTGAAATTACCAAAAGTATATTGAAGGAAATTTGGAATCCTTAGAAATAATCTCTTGTGGCTCTTGGGTCTGTATTTCCTTTGCTCTTTGTTGCCCTTATTTTCATCATTTCAGACTCGCATAACATCCGCTAGCAATAGCATCCCTATTATTTGTTTTTCGTTCGATAAATTTGACCTCGAAGCGCCAATTGCGGCGAAGGTATAAAAGTAGAAAATGCGATGAGGGTAGAAATCATGAAGCGTGGAGAAACATTGACAGTAACACCGATGAACTGTGCCGTGGTCAGAGGGACGAAGGGAATTGATTTTATAAAAATTCATACAAATGAAAAAAATTCGTATATGCGTATATAACGTCTACTGTATCCAAATTAGATACAGGGATTTCGTAGCGTCTCGGGTGATGGCAGAAACTCGTTAATGAATTTAAAGAAGATTGAAAAAAGGTACAAAAATAATACAGCGCTATTCACAGATACAAAGAAAGTACATAATAGAAAAAAAAATGGTAGGAGAAGGAGCAAAATACTTTTTCCTCGTCGTAGATGGAAACGCGAAAATCGCAATTCGAAATTCGCCCTCGATTTAACGTTAATTCGAAGTACTCAATAATGAGAATTCGTGTTTCTGTTTCTTTTTCGTTTTGGTTATTCTTTTTGTTTTGTTTATTTTTCTTCGTTGTCGCGTATACGTCACGACGGGCGACATCTACGCACCTTCTTCTTTCATTCGGATTTCCTCGATCCTCCAATTCTTCGTGGTTTATCACTTATTCCTACCTATTCTGATATTCCTTTATCCTTTACTTCTGCTTTTAAAATCTCAACAATCTGACAATTGTTTCCAAAACGTTGCTCGTTCCATTCCGTTTCGAATAGTGACGAAAGGCGCCGTCCCGCAGGTGGGGTTATGGATGACTGATCATTTATTCAAGTCGTGCCTTGTAGCTTGTCTTCCAGATCTCAGCGAGCGTCACAGCACTGTGGAACCTGTGGAAGATGCAAAGGGGCAGGGTCACTCTCTGCACAATGGCCCAGGCAAGAAAGCCATAGAAATCGAGCTGAACCGGATTGGCGACGACCTTCTGCGTCTCAAAGGTATAAATGACCCACATGGTGACATTGCAGATGAGAAGGAATGTCACGACCTGACGACCTGGTTTGCTACGATCGTGCTCGGGAAGATGGACACGCCTACGTGATACGTCGGCGATGAAAAGCATCTGTAGGACGACCTGGGCCACGGACAGCAATCCGGTGACCATCACGAGGAGATTAGGCTCGTGCGTGAACGCCGCCAAGGATCCTGCGATCACGGAGAAGACTGCGTAGACGAAGAGCCCGAAGGCTGAGACGCGTAAAAGGATGTCATTCAGGTCGCTTTGTTCCTCAGCCTTGAACTTCAAACCCTGAACCCGAATGAAACCGACTATAATGGCGACTATCGAGAGAGCCATAAGCACACAGTGAGAGACGTCCGCCAGGTATATGGCGAGCAATCCTAGCTCGGGATGATGAATGAGCACAAAGAAGAGTATTAGACAAATTAGAGAGCCAACAAGGAGCAAGAGACCGAAGAAAAGACCCTTGCTGGCACCGACGCAGTCTACGCGCGCGTGTCCTGCGTGAGCGAGGGCAACAGCACGTCGCGACAACATAGCTTCCAGCCTGCGTTCAAGATCTGCCTCGGCCTGATGCGGCCAGCGCGGATGACGTCCAATGTGCTTCCACATCACGTAAATGACGGCAGCGCCGATAAGACTGTACTCAATGATAAACGGAAAGAGATACGGTGCCGCGTCCTGGACAATGGTTCCCATGATGTTAACCCTTCCGCAGGAGTTGGATACGGTTCCATCGGCCGACAGGGCCTCAGCATAAAATCCCAAATTGGTACTCCAGACGTTGCTAGTGTTGGTCAGGTTGCTCACATCGAAGATCTGGCTGATTTCCTTGGCGTCTGATTGCGGCGCATCGAACATTTCTGCCAGGAAGGGCGCAAAGGTAGTTGAACGTTCGGGTGTTGTTGTTGTTGTTGTGGTGGTAGTGCTCGTGTTTGTCATTGTCATCGGAATGAGGGTTGTTGCACGGTTTGTGGTTGTCCTAGGAGCCAGGGTCGTCAGTAGAGTCGTCAGGGTCGTAACTGCCGTACTGGCGGATGTTGTTGAAAATGTTGATGTTGTGGATGGGGTTGTCGAGGTTGTCCAGGGTATTTCGGTTGTGGTTGTAGTTGTGGTTGTGGCATTTATGATACCTCGGGCAACCGCCCTGGCTGTTGTATGTATTGCACGACCCAGCGACGGTACTCTTGTTGTAGCTAGGGTTGTTCTTATGGTTGCTGTAGACAGGACTGATAGCGGAGCTTCCCGCAACTGCGCCATGTCTCTCGGCTCGGTTCCCAAGATGGCGCCAGCGTTTCGCAGAGAATGCTGTTTGATACTCTCTACAATAAAATATTTCAAAGTTTAAAAGTCACGACAACCAAGATTTAAAGCGACTCTAAAAAAAGTTCGATCTTTCTCTCTTTCTTTTTTCTTTTATAAAAAAGTAACTCACCGAGGACGCCATTCTCTTCGTAGCCCAAACGCTGATGATACTGAGTGATCTCTTTGAGACTTTCAAGCACCAAAGTTCTTATCCATACGCACAAGTTGGTAGCTACGACATGCATGAGTCCGAAGCGTGCGATAACCTTGAACCGGTGTATATTCAGCTGCAAAAATAAATAAGGTCATTAAGGGATAAAACGTTCCTTACAAATGTCATCACTAAGTCAATAAAATTAAATAGTTAATAAACAATCACCCTGGAGTTCATGAAGATGAAATACATTTGCATGAACGTGAAGATCATTTGCAAGACAGGATTGATACCCCGCAGTATCTGATAGCATGGTGACGTAGGCGGTACCTCGAAGAAAGCACCGAATTCCAATCCATTATAAACCATAGTGCCCAATCCGAAAGCTTAAAAAACACAAATATTAATAGAGAAACAATAACAATAAGCATTTCCCTCGGGATCGTGTATCGCCATCCGTTGAAAACGGTACTTCGTTATGACGTCTCTTACCGATGGCGCCGATCCTGAGGAAGAAGCTTCCATGACTGTGATCGTTCTGCGACGTCTTGCGCTTCCGTAAAGCTCTAGTGGCGACACCAGCCTCGACGTCACTCGCATCCTAAACACACAGAGTGCAATAAGATAAAATCGAATAAAACACAATGATAAAATTATCTTAAAAGAATAAAAAGAAACGAGAAAAAAAAGCAGCAGACGCCAATAACAATAAGTCTGATTTAACGGTATACCGAATTCGACATAATAATCATAACAAAACAAAGATCCAATATAAAATGGCTTTCGAACGAAATGTCGCGGTCAAGTCTGAAATATCTTACGTCATCACCACAAACTGTCTCCGTTCCCAGTTATATTACAGCATGAGTCACAAACGTGAGCAAATCAGTGAACGCGTGGACGCAAGAAACCAACAAAAATATACCTCGGGGAGAACAAGAGTAAATTGTGTCAGTAGGTATCGGTGGTTCTAGTCGCGCGTTATTCAGACCTGAAACTCCTTCTTGCTCTTAGCCGATTTCTGCTCCTTGTCTTTCTTGTCCTTCTTGTCCTTATGTTCTTTGGGTGGTTTTGGCGGCCTGGGTGGTGGCGGCGGCGTCTCCGCGCCACGCGAGCAACAAGCACTCTCTTGGAGCAGGAAGCAGAATACGTAGAGGAGGAAGAGTATACTGGCGCCGTATAAATACGTGAAGAATCCTTCATAGTAATAAAGTGGCAGCTTGTGCGTAACCACTTCGCTTATCACATAAGCGATACAGACGACCACCAGGAGTTTGGCATAGATGAAGCTCATGATGATGAAGAGTGATGTTCTGCGATAAAAAGAAGAAACAAAAATTATAAAAATTTACCCATTCTTGGTCGTGAACAGTTTCATCACACCGGACCGGAAGTGACAGCGATAGTATCCACTTTACAAATCTATTAATTCATATCTCGTACCCTTTTTTACCGATCATTCTCACTCTACTGTTACGCCTCGTAGAAATCACTGTACTTTCCGTACCATTCACAAACGGCACGATCTCCACTTCCATTTTATGAAGAATCTCCCTTTCGACTGTCAGGTGAGGATTATCTGATATCAGGCTTTCCTTTCTATACCGACCCACTGTGTATCCTGAGTGCACAATTTCCAGCGTGGGCCACTATACTGGCACGTCTGGTCTCGATTGTTTAGCTACGCGGACTGCCAAGCTCCATGAGAAGCCAGGTCTAGCATTGCCGGCGCGCTATTTTTGAATCTATCCTACAGGGTAGTCAAGCCATACATAAGACACATGAGACCTGACGTACGAGATCTAACTGACGCTGCACCAAGTATCTAGTGCAAATAGATACTTCATTCACGTCCGGGAAACTCGGTCAGGATAATCGCACAGTGATATTAATTTTTTTTTTCTATTCCGGAACAAATACTACGGATGGAAATTGAATATAATTTTTTTTAAACTCCGGCAAGTTTGCGTTCTCCTTTTTTCCCTTTAAATCCTCATACTCGTTTTAATCGGTGACTCGCATTAAAGTCACGCCCTGTATCTACATGCCACCCCTTGCATCGTACGGGGCATCTTTGCCAACAAGGGCTTAACCATCCTTTGTTCCTGCGGCATTTGAAAGGGTTGGAGCGCAGACTTTATTGTGTACTACACGAGCTGGTACACTCTAGTCAAGCATTTTTTCTCTCTTTTTCTTTTTAATTATAAAAATTCAACCCGCTCGAACTCTCGGTATACTGTCATTTTCCACGTACGCCATTACGACAACATTAATAAGCTTGATAATATAGATATTAATACTGTAGGCCAATGAGCATTTGTGTCGCATATCCATCCACGATCTTCACACGTATAAGGACACTGCTCATTCACTGAGTGTTGAAGCTGGTTAAATGCACTAATAAATTTCCAGCTAAAGAAATTACTTCACGATTCAATTATTATTGGCTGCCATTTGCAAATCAATATATTTGGACTCGGGCTCTTATATCACCCCAACAAATAGTCCGCTGCCCGGATAAATCATTTCAAATTATTCAATTTGGCGAGTGATTCACTTTTCGTACGCAATTCACTCATGTAAATAACAATGAGCTTTTTATTTAAATGTTATAAGAGTGAAAACTTTATTTTATTATAGCGATTCGAAATATGATGATGAAAATATGAGAAATCTTAAGTCTGGCTTTTTACTAAGTTTTATCGACGCCGCGACATCCAGTGGTAGTAGCGACGCTAATGCATGGCACAGACTCCGAGCGTTCCAGGGCGACTGGTCGATATCTCGAAGTACCAACGTACTTTGAATTTCTGGCTTGTCTCCCTGTTGTGCTCGGATGCCCAACACTCATTATATCTCTCTGCTTTCGTCTTTTTCATCAATTCAGTCAGAGATATCGTGCTTTTTCTTTGATCTTTGTTTTGAAGAACTTTGAGAATTTTGAAAAAAAAGACCTCAAAAGACAAATAAATTATATTTAGACTGTATTAAAGTGACCGTATACTTCAATTGGTATTATTTTGATATTTAAGTATTTTCATAACTCCCATAAGGTATAATCGGTTAGCGATATCATACTCTGACTTTCCCGGATAGGACGAGAAATATACGAAATTTTACCATGCGGTATTCAGTAATAACGATAAGTATATTAATCTATTACGTGTATTACACCGATTTTGATTTTAGTGCCCTATAATTAAATGCAGTAATGTTAAAATTTTGCCTTTCTTATCGGTTAACCTCAAATTCTAGCATCAAGACCGAATTACAGATTAATTGACACATTATCAAAAGAAGCAAAAATAGTTAACGATAGATTATTCTCAATATTAACTACAGAGTATTACAAAGTATTAATCTCGAGGTCGTTGCATCTGTGACTTCTACACGTATGGTAATTCAAGAAGGCGTAGTATATAGCATAGTATCCATAGTATAGTATACTGTTACAGGTCTATGTTACACGCCTTCATGATTTATCAATGATAGCATATGCTATAGATAGGTAATTCTAAAATATAAAATACCCTAGAGGTAGGGTATTAGATACGTATAGCAAGGTAACACCCGAGGTAACGTCATAGTATAGGATAGCACGTAATATTTTCTCAACCCTTGTTACGGTTAGTTACAC